ACCCCCGGGGCCACCGGGGCTAGAGCCCACTCCAACGCCGACACCCCCAAGAGCAACGAACGGCTGCTGCAACGGCGGCGGCGGCGGCGGGGACGACGGCGGCTGCAGAGGCGACGGCGGCTGCAGAGGCGGTGGAAGAGGAGACACCGGGGGAGGGGCAGACGGCGAAGACTGCGCCGCAGGACCACCAGAGTCAGAGGACTCCTCAACCGGGTCTACCGACGGAAGGGGGGTGACGTGTGACACACCAGAGGGGGGAGGACAGGGAGGGCGAGGGGGGGGGGCAGGGACTACCGGCGAAGGAGGGACCAGGAACAGGGGGGGAGTAACCGGGGGACCGCGGTGGGGGAAGCGACGGTAGAAGGAGACGGACTCGTCAAAGGTGACGTCGCGAGAGTGAAAGAAGCGGTGAGACGGCGGGTGGTAGAAGTGCCAGTCGGACGCGTCAAGGGAAAAACCTAGGAAGACACAGGGAAGGGTGTGGACAGTGAGCTTGTCCGTGCCGGAGGCACGAACGTGAGCAAGGCAGCCCAAGACGTGGAACGCAGACGCGTCACCAGGAGACCCGGTCCAAAGACGGGTCGGCGAAACCTGCGGCCGCTGAGGGGAGCAGCGTAGCGCACGGCGAACGGCCACAGAAAATAGGGAGCACCGGCATGGATCATGGAGGTGCGAGCAACCTCCATGAGCAAGCTGATGCGTCGCTCAGCGACCCCATTCTGCTGTGGGGAGTCCGGCAGGGTGAACGTCTGGGTGATGCCCTCCGCACGACAGAAGCGACCAAGGACACCGGAGGCAAACTCACCACCACGGTCTGAGTGAAGGCGCAAGACAGGGAGACCTCGGTGGACACGCGCAGAGACAAGCCAGGGGATGAGAGCGTCAGGCACGTCGGCCTTCCGCTCCAGGGGAAAGACTGTGGTGTAGCGAGTGAAGTTGTCGACAAGCACAAGGAAGTAGTGCTCGCGACGCGGCCCATGGATGGGGGCGGGGCCCCAGACGTTCATGTGCAAAGTCTGCAGTGGCGCGGCGGTAGGGGGAAACGAGGAGTGGGGGGCACGGCGAAGCCGACCCTCGACATAAGGAGTGCAAGGCGGGGCGGGGGAGGAGGGAAAAGGGGGAAGGGAACCAGGGAGACCAAGGACGAGACTGTGCTGGGACATGTAACGCAGACGCGTGAGCGCAGGGTGACCTAGACGGTGGTGCCAAAGGAGAGTCGGGTGACTGAGAGACCGACAGGAGCAGGCAGCAGCAACCTAGGAAGACGCAGCCACCTGGGGGGGCGCCCCAGCCGGGGGGGTCACGGTGTCCAGGGTGAACAGGCCGGACACCGGGTCCCGGGGGAACGTGGGCAGAGGGGCACCTGTGGCAGCCTTGGTACAGACAGCATACCGCTCGTGACCAGGGAACGTAGTGGTGACGCCAAGGTCCTGGAGGCAGCCGACACCAACTAGGTTCCTGGAGAACGAGGGGATATGCAGACCTGTGAGAGAGCCCGAAGGAACTGCCGGACAGGGAAGGGTGGTGGAACTGCGGGCGACTACCGGACCGCCGGAGGGGTCAGCAAGAGAAACAGCGGCAGGAACAGGATGCGGCATCAGTGTAGTGAAGTCGCGGAAGAAGCACCGGGAAGCGCCAGAGTCCAAGATGAAGGAAAGCGAAGCAGTGGTGTCCGGCGACGGGGCGACGGAGGAGGCACCAAGGCTAAACAAAGCAGGGGCTCCTACGTCTGACGCAGCGGGGGAGGCTAAGCTAGACATACCTACACTAGACGACAAGGAGTAATAAGCGGGAAGCACACTAGAGTCATCAGCATACATCACATGCAGAGCAGAAACAATGGCATCCATGTCTAAGTCAAAAATCGGAATACGACGACTAAGCAAACGGTGCCAGTCCGGGAGGTCTGGCGACGGGCCAAAGCGCTGACGGAACAGGTCGTCCAGGCGACAAAAGCAGCGAGGAGTGGTATGACCGGTCTAACCGCAAACGAAGCCGCGGCGAGGACCGGTCTGGATCTGGTACTGGCAACGCACACCTCCCGAACCACCACCCAGTACACCACCACGCGCACGACCACCTCCAGCTCCAGGCCACCCAGGCGGGAGGACACTCGTCTGCCTCGTCTGCGGCGGCTGCAGCGGCTGCTGCGACGGCTGCTGCTGCTACTGCGACTGTGGAGGCGGCTGCTTAGCTGGACCGGGCAGGGTCCCCTCGTCCGCTCCAGCACCAGACGACCCGACTCCACCACCACCCCCACCTGCACCCCCTCCTCCGCCGCCGCGCCCAGCCTTGGGGCGGCGGCCCTTCCCCGGACGGAACGGCACGGCAGCAGCAGTCTCAGCCACAGCGGCCGAACCGTCGGAGAAGGTACACTGAGCAGGGGCACAACCCTGAAAGATAGAGACCGGCACGGTACCGCTCGCCTGGCCGATGGAGCGGTGGCGGGTCTCTATAACAGTCAGGGTTTCTACAAAGTCGGTGAGGGTGAGCTCACCGGGGTGGATACTAAGGAAGCGGTCGCGGGCGGCGGCAAGGCGGTCAAGGAGGCGGGTGGCAAGCAGGTAGAGGGTAGAGGTAATGGGCGGCTGGTGGGCTCTAAGCTGTGCGTCAGTGCAGGCAGCGCGCCAGGTCTCATCTATCGTGCGCAGGTGGGCAGCCAGGTCAGCGACAGTGGGGAAGGACGCAAGATCAGAAAAGAGCAGCGGGAGGATCAGGCGACCCACCGAGGCAGCAGGAGGGGTGGAATAGCGCTTGAGGACAGCATCTAAGTAAGCATGAGCGGTAGTAATGGACCTAAAGCGAGGGCGCTCAGACGGGGGAAGGGCATTGCTAATGGCAAGCTGGGCGACAGCGTCTCGGGAAAGCCAGACAGAGCGGGCAAGGGCAGCGGCTGCAGCGGACTCGCGCTCAGCGGGTGTGGGGTCAGCGGGCAGCACAGCAGGGGGATCTGGGCAGGGGAGCATACCGTCAAGGTGTGAAGAAAGTGGGTGGCCATCCTGCCGCTGGCCAGTGAGGTGGCGACGGAGGTCGGCGAGCCACGCCTCGAACTCCAGAGGCTGGCCTTCAGCGTCGAAGCGAAGCTCCGCCGCCATCAGGAGCAGTGTAGGACCGGACAGTGCGGTGCAAGGCGGTGCAGCGCGGTGCAGGGCAGTGCAGGGCGGTGCAGCGCGGTACCGTGCGGTGCAGTGCAGTGCAGGGTGGTGCAGTGCGGTGCAGGGCGGTGCAGTGCGGTGCAGTGCGGTACCGTGCGGTGCAGGTGAGGGGAAACCGTACCAGGAAGGGTGCAGGGGCCGGCTGGGATGGGCGCGGGCCGGCTGGGACGCGCAGGGGCCGGCTGGGACGGGCGCGGGTCGGCTGGGACGGGCGCAGATCCAGCTGGGAGGCACGCGGGCCGGCGGGGACGGGCGCTGGTCGGCTGGGACGGGCGCGAGGCCGGCTGGGAGGCACGCGGGCCGGCTGGGACAGGCGCGGGCCGGCTGGGACGGGTGCACGGGCCGAGCGAGCAGGGCGCGGAGGTCGCGAGGTCGGCCGTGGGGCCGGCTGGGACGGGCGCAGGGGCCGAGGAGGAGGAGGGCAGGGGCCCCTAGGGTAGCACGGGGGCCGCTAGGGCAGGCGCTGGGGCCGTCACGAGGGGCCACTAGGGCGGTCGCTAGAACGGGCCCAAGGGGCCGCTAGGGCGGGCGCTAGGGCGGGCACGAGGGGCCGCCAGGGCGGGAGCGACGGAGCCAGCTAGGGCGGGCGCGACGGGGCCAGCTAGGGCGGGCGCGACGGGGCCAGCTAGGGCGGGCGCGACGAAGCCAGCTTGGGCGGGCGCGACGGGGCCAGCTAGGGCGGGCGCGACGGGGCCAGCTAGGGCGGGCGCGACGGGGCCAGCTAGGGCGGGCGTGACGGGGCCAGCTAGGGCGGGCGCGACGGGGCCAGCTAAGGCGGGCGCGACAGGGCCAGCTAGGGCGGGCGCGACGGGGCCGTTAGGGCGGGCGCGACGGGGCCGCTAGGGCGGGCGCTAGGGCGGGCACAAGGGGCCGCTAGGGCGGGGCGCGAGGCCGGCTAGGAGGTGGCGCGCAGGGCGGGCGCGACTAGGGCGCGGCTAGGGCGCGACTCGGGTGGGCGCGACTAGGGTGGGTAGGTCCGACAGCGGAAGCGTGGGTGAGCGGGACCTACCTACTGCTGATACCATCTTAGAAACTGAATCGAATAACTAGAGAGAGAGAATACAGTCTATGCAAACATAACAGATATACATTGTTTGACAATTGGCCCTTAGCCAAAATCAGAGCGCGATGCTTGCGAGGGGCTTTGTGAGGGCGGTTACCGGCCCTTCACCAAAATTGAAGGCCAGTGCGTAATGGGGGCTATGTGAGGGAGCCGACTGGCCCTTCACAAAAATCACTTCCCACTTTGTGCAGGGTGCGAGTGTGAGGGGCCGATTGGCCCTTGAAAAAAAATACCGATGTTTGCTGGGGGTTGTGTGTGTGAGGGCGCCCATTGGCCCTTCACGAAATAGCCACGTGGATGGCGCGATTTCCCTCCCTCCCTGCAATTTTACTTTGCCTGCCCCCCAATTCCTTTCCGCTCGCCCCATTAGCGCTGGCGCGGGGCCGGGTCGAGGGTGACGCGAAATTCTGTGTGCAGCCAGCACACAGTTAGCAAGAGAACGCAAGAAGATAAAGCCCCTGGATTAGGTAAGGGAAGGAGAAAATAGACATACAGAACACCAGTTTTAAAATCAGCGCAAAAATTTATGGTAACTCTGAATAATCAGACAAAAAATCTCTTGTTACTCTGATTTTTCAGACTTTTTTTAAGGGGAGACTCTGATGGCCATACCAAAGGATGACAAGCAAGTCTGATGAATCAGACACCCCCAAAACCAATTTGGGGGCCTGCTCGCGTACCCGATACGACTTTCCTCGAGTGTAGTGTTACACTTCAGAAACGCTCAAGTCTTCGAGGTATTTCCAACAGCCTTCAATGCCTATCAATGTAAAAATGTAAGAATGCGATAAGCAATTTTATACCCACAAACATATCCACCGATTTTTTATACCCACCGAGTTTATGTCACGCCTTCAACATATTCTCCTCTTCACTCTGCTACGCAAAAATAAAGGATCGTGATCAGCTCCAACCAAAGAATCAATGGATCTGCCCGCTTTGCTTGTGATGACCCCAGACTTCCATGTCAAAATCCCATGTGGCGCCCCATCAGTTTCTGCAGTGGGCTGGCCACACCTGGGGCAGGCACTATCTGGGACAGGTGTTGTTCAGCGCAGTCAAACATCTGTACTTCACAAACCCACAGAAGCGCACTCTCCTCCCATGCTCCTTGCAGGGGCTAGCTGTCAGTCGCACTACTGCACATGGCTTCACTTAACGCCCCCATGTGTCGCTCTGTCAGTTGCCAATATGTCCGTCTGCCCTCCCCGCTTCACACACCCATGTGTCGCTCTGTCAGTTTCTGCAACGGGTTGGCCACTTGGGCAGGCACTATCTGGGGAAGGCGCTGGTCAGAACGCTCAAACATCTGTACCTCTACAAACCCACAGAAACTCACTCTCCTCCCATGCCCCTTGCCAGGACTTGCTACCACACAGCCACCACCACCACTGCTGCTGCTGCTGCTGTTGCCTCTCGCGTTTCTGCAGCCACTGCTGCAGCTGCTGCTGCTGGTAGTGGTTCTGGTGCTGGTGGTGGTGTTAGAAATGCCCATCTCTTTGGGACTTCCAGTGACACAGCTGCTGCTGCGTTTGTGTTTCAAAGCACTGCGGATTGGAGTGGAGGGGGCAGCAGGAGAAGCCACCCCTTCTGCTGCGGCGCTTGTCTGCTTTATGAGTCGTCTAGAAATAGGAGTGGAGGGAGAAGCTACCACTTCAGCTCCAGCGTCGCCAGGGAGGGCAAGTGGGGTGGGCGGGCCTTTGCGCGAGGACCAGCTCTTTGGGAACGCCATGGAGGCATGTGGGGCAAGAGGCACAGGGAGTGCGACTATACCAAGATCCACAACCGAAGTAGCGTTTGCAGCTTTAGGAAGGCATGCATCAGCAGAGGGATGTGCATCGGTACAAGGGCAAGTGTCGGCAGGAGTGCGGGCGTCTGCACAAGGGACAGAGAAGGACCGAGGGGAGAGGAGAGGGAGCTGAGGGCGTGGGGAGAGAGGAACAGAGGAGGACGTGGGGAGGTGGGGAGGACGGCGGTTAGGGCAAGGAGGGGGCTTGTGATCGGGAGCTGAGGGGGATGGAGGGGGTTTGAGACAGGGAGCGGCAGGAGAGGGAGGGAGCCGGAGATTGGACGCAGAGGGCACACGTCTTAAACCACGTCTTAAACCAGAGGACGAGGAGCCTTCTAGGAGAGGACTCTCGGTTGTTGCTGCACTTGTGATGGCGATGGGGATGCTGCTGCTGCTGCTGCTGCCGCCCCATCGGCTGCCTCTGCCCTTTCCCCCAGGGCTTGCGGGGATGGAGAGGGGAGCAACGACGGGGATGGTTGAGGTGGAATAAGGGAGGGCGGCTGGAAGGGAGGCGAGAGGAATCGACTCATGCGGACGGGAAACGCCAGGGCTGATACCAGCAACAGCCATCGTGGCACGCATCCCAACAGGCATTGCAATCGGGATCGCAATAGGGATGGCACCAGGAATGGCAGCGGTGGGACCACCAGCAGCAGAAGAGGAGGAAGAGAGAGAAGCCGGTGCTTCTGCTGGATCAATCCTCGAGGGTGCATGGCTGCTGCGAGTGTGGTTTAAGGAGCACCATGAGGAGGACTGAGTGCTGGCACTTAAGGAGCGATCAAAGTGCCGGGAGCGGGAGTCAAACACTGCGGGTGTGCGGTGAGGCGAGACGAGAGTGGACACCGCATTTCCCGTTGAGCAGATTTGATTGGCCGATGCAAAGAGCTCGTGCGAAGCGGCCATGATTTCACGGCCGGATGAGCGCCCCTCGTTGGCTGATGATGAGCGCTGGGCACGGCGGGGAGAAAAGAGAGGCGAGGAGCGAGGCGAGGCAAGCTGGCTCGCCGACGCAAAGACTTCATGTGACGAGGCAAAGATCTCCCGGCTGGAGGGGCGTCCCTCATTGGCTGACGACGAGCGCTGGGCGCGGCGCGGACGGGGGAGGGGAGGGCTGGAGGCTGGGGGAGGGCGAGGGGTAAGGCGGGAAGGAGAGGCAGGAGTGGGGGAGAATGGAGGGCGAGGGGAGGAGGAAGAATGGAGGGGAGGACTGGAGGAAAGTGGGGGCCGAGGGGAGGAGGAGGAATGGAAAGGGGGGCTGGAGGATGGGGAGAGACGGGGGCTGCAGGAGGGATGTGGTCTGTAAGGCTTGTGAGGTGACGTGGAATGGCGTGCTGCTGTCCGTTGCTGCATTTGCTTCTCCTCTTCCTCTTCCTTCTCCAACTCCTGCTGCTGCTGCTGCTGCTGCTTCACCAGAAGCAGATCCAAACTTGGGCCGACCTCACCCATTGGTACAGTGGCCGCTAGAACGACACTGTCATCGCTACCATCACTGTCACTGCTATCCTCGCTATGAACTTCATCAGCACAAGCAACACCGTGATCAGCAGCACCAGCAGCACCAACAGCAGCACCAACAGAAGCAGCAGCAGCAGCAGCAGCAGCAGCAGCAGTGGTTGTGGTAGTGGTATCAGGAAGAGAAGAAAGACTCATCTCACGTGGCAAACAGTGCGTGTCCCCGTCAACCCAACATCCTGACCTCCCCCCCCTTTCCCCATCGGTACGACCCCTTACCTTCCTCTTCCCTGACCTTTCCTCTGCCCGCGGCACGGCGAATGTACCCCCAAAACGGCTTACTAAGCCGTCTGTTGCCGCTGTACCCGCTCCACTGGTAAGGGGAACGTTAAGGGGACATGAGGGCCCCTCTGGAACGTGCCAGGTGTTGAGGCACGGATCAGAATCCGCCCTCACACGCTGACGATATCGGACACTCATAATCCTGCTGCTGCCACCGCTGCCGCTGCTGCTGCCACTGCTGCCACTGCCACTGCCGCTGCCACTGCTGCCGCTACCACTGCCGCTGCCACTGCTGCCGCTGCCGCTGCCGCTGCCGCTGCCGCTGCCACTGCTGCCGCTGCTGCCGTTGCCACTGCTGTCGTTGCCACTGCTGCCGCTGCCGCTGCTGCCGTTGCCACTGCTGTCGTTGCCACTGCTGCCACTGCCGCTGCTGCTGCTGCTGCTGCTGCTGCTGCTGCTGCTGCTGCTGCTGCTGCTGCTGCTGCTGCTGCTGCTGCTGGTGCTGGTGCTGGTGCTGCTGCTGCTGCTGCTGCTGCTGCTGCTGCTGCTGCTGCTGCTGCTGCTGCTGCTGCTGCTGCTGCTGCTGCTGCTGCTGCTGCTGCTGCTGCTGCTGCTGCTGCTGCTGCTGCTGCTGCTGCTGCTGCTGGTGCTCGCACTGATGTTGCTGCACAGACGTGAGTCCTCCCGCCTGCTCCCACTCCTCCCCACCCCTCCTCCTCCTGCCCATTTGTCCGCACTCCCCTCCACTTCGTCACATCCTCTTCCTGGTCCGCCTCCTTCCGTCCCTCGACCTCCCCCTGACGCCCATCGGTGCCTGCGTGTTGCGCCGTCCTCTGCTGCTTCTGGCCCGATCTGCTTTCCCACTTCTTCTGCTGCTGCTGCTGCTGCTGCTTCTGCTGCGTGCTGAATCTCTCCTTCTCCGTTCAGCCGCACAGCGAGGGTTTGTTGGAAGGAGGAGCGGAGGGGGTAGCTGAAGCGACGCGCGAAACCGCTCGAGCAGGGAGACCGAGGCGAACCCCCTGATACTGCTGCTGCTGGTACTGGCAATGGTGGTGCCACTGGTGGTGCTGTAAGTGGTGCTTCTGGCCCATGCTGCTTTTCCTCTCCTGCTGCCATCGAAATTTCTCTTTCTCCGTTAAGGGGAACCACGATGGTTTGTTGGAAGGAGGAGCGGAGAGGGTAGCTGAAGCGACGCGCGAAACCGCTTGAGGGGGGAAGATACTGCGTTGGCACAGCTAACACCGAAGAAGCTGATCCTGCTGCTGGTGGTACTGGCAATGCTGGTGCCACCGGTGGTGGTGCTATTAGTTCTGATGAAGCAGCAGCTGCTGCTGCTGCTGCTGGTTCTGCCCCTGCTGCTTTCACTCCAGCGGTGGAAGTGGTAGTAGACGTTCTGCGTGATTCCCTGCCTACTGCAGTCACTAGCGCTGATCCGAGCACCGAAGCCCCTACACCTTCTGCTGCCCCACCCATTTTTTCATGCTTTTGCGTCGACTCAATAGCAGACCCTGATCCAAGCACCGAAGTCCCTACACCTTCTGCTGCTCCAACTCTCAACTCCTCATGGCAATCCTTCCGTGGCGAGGAGTCGTCAAACAAGGATGCGCTGATTTCGAACACGGTGTGCCGCCGCTGATGCCCGTACACTGCTATCGCCCTCTTCCTTCCACTGCCACTGCCACTGCCACTGCTGCCACTCACAATGCTGCTGCCACTTGCAATGCTGCTGCCACATTTACTGCGGCCTGTAACACTGCTGCTACTGTTACCACTGCCACGATCATCATTCCTGCCATCCGTAACACCAACACCACAAGCACCACCATCACCCCCATCGCTACCACCGCCACCACTGCTGCCGCTAAAGTTGCTGCTGCGACCGACATACCGACTACCAGTGGCACTACAACCACCACCATCATCACCCCCACCACCACCACCGCCACCACCACCACCGCTGCCTGCAAAACTACTACTTGCACCCTCTCCCTTGGCCCAATCCTCCGCAACATCCCCTTTACCCAATCCACTACAAACAGCGTTGATGAGAGCACGGCTCTTCCCATCCCCTTCCAGCTCGGCGCTCCTGCGGCTCATATTCTGTGACACCTCTAGCCTCAACTCAGCTCTCCTGCAACTCGGAACCTGAGACGCCTCTAGCCTCAACTCGGCTCTCCTGCAACTCGGAACCTGAGACGTGTCAAGAGCCAGCTCAGCGCCCATGCGGCTGGGAAGAGCCTGTTTTTGAGAGATAGCTAGGCCTTGAGACTCAAAAGCAGTCTCAAGACCCAGCTGAGCGCCCCTGCGGATGGGAAGAGTTTCTTCAAAGAAAGAGGCGCTGATTTCGCACATGGTGTGCCGCCGCTGATGCCCGTACACTGCTATCGCCCTCTTCCTTCCGCCGCTGCTGCTGCCACTGCCACTGCCACTAGCGCTGCTGACGTTGCTGCTGCCACCACCACCACCACCAGCATCACCACGACCACAAATCTCTTCCTCTCCCTCCTTCTGCTCCTTCTGCTCCTTCTCCCCCTTCTTATCCTGCCTCTCCCTGGGTATGTGTACCCCGTTCCTCTGCTCTCTAAATGCCCCCCTATCCAACCCAAAGTACCTATCCCTCTCCCTCTCTTTCGCCCTCAACACCCCCCCTCTTGGACTGACGCTCGCCCTACTCTCCCCATTGCAACCCCCACCGACACTTATTGGGCTCTTAAACCTGGGGCTACTCACACGCAGGACGCGAGGACTAAGTCCTAAACTCCCAACAGAAACAGCATCCCCGTTATAGCCACATATGCCCCCAACGCTGGCAGTGGCACCTCCAGCGTTTCTATCCCCATCCTCCCTAGGTCCTCCTCCTCCCTCTCCCCCTCCTCCCCCGGTTTCCCCCTCCATTTCTCCCCATGTCCTCCCCCCCTCTCCCAACAACCCCCCCATGGTGCTGTGGCTGCGCCTGTGCGCGCCTGGTCCCCTCTCAGTGAAGCTTCTTGCCTTGGAGCCTAATAAACTGGGTCCCACTCCTACCCCAGACTCTCTGCTGCTGCTGCTGTCAACGTCGGCACCACCGCTGCCACTGCTGCCGCTGGCACCACCGCTGCCACTGCTGCTGCTGGCACCACCGCAGCTGCGGCTACTGGCACCACCGCAGCTGCTGCTGCTGCCCCACAATCCCCCCATGGTGCTGTGGCTGCGCCTGTGCGCGCCTGGCCCCCTCTCAGTGAGGCTTCTGGCCTTGGAGCCTAATAAACTGGGTCCCACTCCTACCCCAGACTCTCTGCTGCTGCTGCTGCAGCGGTCACCCCCGCTGCTGCTACGATCATTACCACTGCCGCTGCTGCTGCCACCACGGCTGCTGCTGCTGTGGCAACGGGAGCTGCCGCCAATGCCTCTGCTTTCGCTGCGTATTCCGCTGCTGCTGCTGCTGCTGCTGGTACACCCACTGCTGATTTCAACAATGCTGGCTGTAGTGCTGTGGTTTTCGCTGCTTGTACCACTGCTGTCAGGAATCGACGGCCAGGATCCTTGGAGAGACGCACCAACGCCCAGACCTGTGGTCCAAACCACGTCTACAGGTTCGGCCAAAACCGCCTCGCCCGAGTCTGTCCGCTCCAGTTCTGCCAGTGCCAAGCCTGACGCCAAACGCGCCACCGAGCCCGCCACCGAGCCTGCCACCGAGCCTGCCGCCGAGCCTGACACCGAGCTTGACACCAAGCCTCGTTTCCCCAGCCCTAACTCGTGCACGCCCCCCACGCTCGCGCTGAAGCGCCTATGCCCGCGCAGCCGCCTTGGGGGGGTTTCCCCTCTGGGAGAGGCGGATTCCTGGCGGGGGCGACCTTCCCCCAGGGGTTGCGCGAGGGGGGAGCGCGGGCGGGGAGATGAAAGCGCCACTCCACGGAAGCGCGCCTGAGGAGAGCGCGGGGGCGGAGACCGCGGGGGAGGGGAGCGGGGGGAACGATGGGGGGGTCGGGGCGTAGAGGGAGCCGCGGAAGGGGAGAGAGGGGGAATGGGGGGTGACGATACCCGCGGTTCAAGAGACGAATCGACTTGAAGAACAGACCATGGAGAGGGGCACTGCTCAGGCTGCTGCTGCTGCTGCTGCTGATGCGGCTGCTGCTGCTGATGATGATGCTGCTGCTGCTGGTGGTACGCGGAAGGGGAGAGGTCCATGCTCATAGAACCGCGCTGAAGTTGCTGCTGAAGTTGCTGCTGCCGATGATGAGTAGTGTTATGTTGCTGCCGCTGCTCCTGCCGCTGCTCCTGCCGCTGCTCCTGCTGCTGCTCCTGCTGCTGCTGCTGCTGCTCAAAGTCGAATGCTGACTCGCTACCGAACGGTGCGTCGCCGAACCTCTGCGACATCATGAACTCCGAGCATCCCTCTACAGGAACGCTCTGGCTACCAACAAAACCGCGGCGATCCGTAACGGGTTGCCTGGGAGAAACGGGTGCTCCGAAGACTACTCGCGCTCCAGTCATGGGGTGGGAAATATTTTTGAGGCACCTAAAAAATGGGAAATATTTTTTAGGCACCTCAAAAATGGGAAATATTGCACAGAATGGGAAATTATAAATGGTAATGGTAAGTCGCGCTTCCTCTAATTTTTTAGTCGACTCAAAAGTCAGCTCTTCCTCTGATGCTAAGAAATGGAAAGTCGCGCTGGAGACATTCACAGGTCGTCGCCGACGCGTCCGTTTCTCCTGAGACGAAATGCCGCTTTAATTAAGTTCAGTAGGGTTCCCCGAGAGAGGTTAGGGCGCCGATCATATACGCTCTGCAGAGCTCTTCCTGTGGGAATGACAGTCGAGCGTGTCTAATCTCGCGCGATAAATTAACTCCAAAAGCAGCATCACGACGCGAGCGAGGCGGGGGACTAGCAAGGTAGCTTTTAAAAACTTCAGCGAAGAAAGGAAGAGAGATAAACGACTCTGAGCCACCGTAATTCTTTAGAACATGTCAGTATCACGTTGTCGCGTCACAAAAATGTGGATCTCTCCTATATTGTAGGTATAGTTGTTCGTATAGCAAGTCTACTCCGTAGCAGACGTACCTATGCCGTACCTACTGTATACCTACTCCGTATTTCTGATCCTGGTATTTTGGGATGCGTGGGGCAACGACACGCATTCTGACAGTTCACCCACCAGCCAAACGCTCTCTACCTTGCCCGCACAATTCGCACCCCAGGCCAACGAGCCTCTACACGACGAGAAGCCCCTAATACTTATTTAGCGACGGATGTGACAGAGCTAGAATGTCCGAACGAAACTCTCCTAGGTGTTTATGTGTTTATGGGTGGTGCCAGCCGCTCGAGCAAAAACTTAGGCAATCTTGGCAGTATGCTGTATTACTCCACCGACCAATCAACCAAATAGGTTTGGGACGGGTTACCCAATTCTACGCCTGATTGCGGTGCAGCGAGTTCCGCTGCGTTTAAAAGCTTTAAGAGACCAAAACAGAATGGTTGGGTAGGGTATTGGGGGGAAATGTGTGTATGAAAAGCTTCTGAGATGTAATCAAATCGATTGTCGGTGCTGCATATTTGGATGTCGGTGCTGTATGGTATCGAACGGTGCTGTAATATTTTTCTGCTCTCCGACCAAAGATTTCGTTTAACAATTTGTGTAACCATGTTCGCTCTCTCTCGCATGCCACCCACAACCACAAGATTCGCCCACTTCCTTCTGACCTCAGAATTGCCACGAGGGTGACATCCCAAGAAGCTGATTGGATAAACCTAGTACCGATGCAATACCAGCCGTCGATGCAACACCAGGAGAACATCGAGAGACAGCCTGCCGTCCAAGTCCTAACCACGTGGCTATCCCACCTTACCTCCTAGCCACAAACCACATTCCCAAGGGTGGCAGGCAGGCAAGGCGGCTTTATTTTCCTTACCATTCTGTAAATTTCCATTCCCGCCATGACCATTTTCGACCAATCCTGTCCCGCGGCCGTAGCTCCCCCCCCGGGATCCCCGCCGTCCCCTTGTTCTCGGTGGAAGTACATAGTTTTCGGGGACTGCGTGTGCTCGGCGCGCGACGCCGCATCGCTCTACTTAGGCCTTTTTAGCATCGCGTGTTGGGCGGTCGCCGAGGTGCCGCAGGTGATCGCCAACTGCCAGGCGTCGCGCAGCGGCGCGGAGCTGGAGGAGGTGCCTCTCGCGCTGGTGCTGACGTGGATCGTGGGGTGAGTGGCGCGATTCGTAGGGTAAATTCTAAGTCTACCAAGGGGCAGTGACGTCTGTGGTTAACGTGTACTGGGTTGTCTGTTCAGCGTCGCGTGCTGGGGGTGGCGGTGGTGCCTTTTGAGACGTCTTAGAACGCAGAGGTGCCTATGAGACGCCTTAAAACGCGGAGGTGCCGCAGATGATCGCCACGCCAACTGCCAGGCGTCGTGCAGCGGCGCGGAGCTGGAAGAGGTGCCTCTCGCGCTGGTGCTGACGTGGATCGTGGGGTGAGTGTGTAGTGCTGACGTGGATCGTGGGCTGACTGATTCTAGGGCAAGCAGTGATTTCCACGTCTACCCAAGAAATGTGGGCTATGACGTTGAAATGTACCGAGTTAGTAAGGTGCGCGACGTGAAATGCGAGTCAGAATGACGTGTACGGAAGAAGGAAGCTAGGAATTTCAAACCTCTACAGCAACCGAGCCCTTTTTACTGCTCCCCATCCCTTGCGCTCCCCATCCCTTTCTCGCCCTCCAGAGATGTCTTTAATCTCCTCGGCTGCCTCCTAGACCCTGTCACGGTGCGTGCGTTTTCATTCTTTCTCAGCTAAACACTCTTTTTTTCTCTTCCTGGCTAAGTGTTCATCCCTCCATCGCCCCAACCCACTGATTCGCATTTTGTTGCGATCATCCCCATTTCCTCTAATTCCGTTTGCTCTCTCTTTTTTTTTTCCCCACCCTTCGTTCTTCTAAGTGTTCCCTCCTCCTCCACCTGTCATCTTTTCCGTGTCCACCATCCCGCCTCCTTTTGAGTCGACTCAAAAGCCACCTGTCATCTTTTCCATGTCCACCATCCCGCCTCCTTTTGAGTCGACTCAAAAGCCACCTGTCATCTTTTCCATGTCCACCATCCCGCCTCCTTTTGAGTCGACTCAAAAGCCACCTGTCATCTTTTCCATGTCCACCATCCCGCCTCCTTTTGAGTCGACTCAAAAGCCACCTGTCATCTTTTCCATGTCCACCATCCCGCCTCCTTTGAGTCGACTCAAAAGCCACCTGTCATCTTTTCCATGTCCACCATCCCGCCTCCTTTTGAGTCGACTCAAAAGCCACCTGTCATCTTTTCCATGTCCACCATCCCGCCTCCTTTTGAGTCGACTCAAAAGCCACCTGTCATCTTTTCCATGTCCACCATCCCGCCTCCTTTTTGAGTCGACTCAAAAGCCACCTGTCATCTTTTCCGTGTCCACCATCCCGTCTCCCGGCTCATTTTGTCCCAAACGTCCTCGCCCCCCCCCCCCCCTCCCCTCTCCCTCCCCCTTTTTCTCCCTTTCCGCCTCCCTCACTTCTCCGTGTTATGCCTGCAGCTTCCAACTCAGCTTTTCACTGCAATTGTAAGTCCTTCCCTGGGGGTTGCCCATACCTAGATTTTCTTGATTTCCTTCTTGGCGGCGATTGGACAGCATTTCTTCCCCCTCATTTCCTTCCTCAACCTCCTCATTTCTCCTTCCCCCCCCCCCCCACCCTTTCCTCCCTTCCCCACCGTCAACCCCCCTCTCCCTCCCTCCCACGTCGTTCCGTCACAGCTCTACACAAGCACCACTCTTGTTCTAGTCCTGCAGCACGTGCTGTCTGCGTGCACCAGAAAAGGGAGGCGGGGCAGGAAAAGCCCCGCTTATAGGAACACTCCTTCCCTTCCTCTCGCCCTCCCTCCCCCCTTCCGTCGCAGGTCTCTACAAGCACTGCCGTCGTTCTAGTGCTGCAGCACGTGCTGTCTGCGTGCACCAGAAAGGGGAGGCGGGGCAGGAAAAGCCAGCAGACAGCACGTGCTGTCTGCATGCACCAGAAAGGGGAGGCGGGGCAGGAAAAGCCAGCAGACAGCACGTGCTGTCTGCATGCACCAGAAAGGGGAGGCGGGGCAGGAAAAGCCAGCAGACAGCACGTGCTGTCTGCATGCACCAGAAAGGGGAGGCGGGGCAGGAAAAGCCAGCAGACAGCACGTGCTGTCTGCATGCACCAGAAAGGGGAGGCGGGGCAGGAAAAGCCAGCAGACAGCACGTGCTGTCTGCATGCACCAGAAAGGGGAGGCGGGGCAGGAAAAGCCAGCAGACAGCACGTGCTGTCTGCATGCACCAGAAAGGGGAGGCGGGGTAGGAAAAGCCAGCAGACAGCACGTGCTGTCTGCATGCTCGTCACTCATTCCCTCCTTTCTCCCTCCTCCTCCCCCATTCCATCTCAGCCCTACACGAGCACCACTCAGGTTCTAGTGCTGCAGCACGTGCTGTCAGCCTTGTCTCAGGCCCTTCGTTCCTCCCTCTCGCGTCCCCCTTCCCACACGCACCCCATTCCTTCCATCTCAGCTCTACACGAGCACCACTCTCGCTCTAGTGCCACCGCACGTTCTGGCAGCGTGCACCAGCAACTCTTCCCTTTCCTCCCCTCCCCTGAGCACCTTTCACACGCCCTCCCTCCCCCATTCCGTCGCAGCTCTACACGAGCACCACTCTCGCTCTAGTGCCACCGCACGTTCTGGCAGCGTGCACCAGCAACTCTTCCCTTTCCTCCCCTCCCCTGAGCACCTTTCACACGCCCTCCCTCCCCCATTCCGTCGCAGCTCTACACGAGCACCACTCTCGCTCTAGTGCCACCGCACGTTCTGGCAGCGTGCACCAGCAACTCTTCCCTTTCCTCCCCTCCCCTGAGCACCTTTCACACGCCCTCCCTCCCCCATTCCGTCGCAGCTCTACACGAGCACCACTCTCGTTCTAGTGCTGCAGCACGTGCTGTCTGCATGCACCAGAAAGGGGAGGCGCGGCAGGAGACACTCCTCTTACATGAACATCCCTCCACGCCCTCTCTCCCACTCGCCTCTCCCTCCCACTTCTCCCATCTCTCCCCTTCCCATTCCGTCGCAGCTCTATACGAGCACAACCCTGGTTCTAGTGCTGCAGCACGTGCTGTCTGCGTGCACCAGAAAGGGGAGGCGCGGCAGGAAAAACACCGCTTATAGGAACAGCCGGCTACTAGAAGGCCCATCAGGGGAAACAACCGCAGCTGCTGATGACTTTGAGGAGGGTTGCGATGCTTCTAATGGGCTGTACCACGCGATCATAGATGAGGTGAGTGGGGGAGGTTACTGCTACTAGAGGGCCCATCAGGGGAAACATCCGCAGCTGCTGATGACTTTGAGGAGGGCTGCGAGCGATGCACCCAAGGGGCTGTACCACGCGTTGATTGATGAGGTGAGTACGATTCCCCTCTAGTTTCTTCTGGTTCAGCTGAGGTCAGCACCCCCCCCGTACTGTATCGAAACACCTTCCTGCTGGAAGGTCCGTCAGGGGAGACTGCCTCAGCTGCTGCTGATGACTTTGAAGACGGCTGCGATGCCACCAACGGGCTGTACCACGCGTTGATAGATGAGGTGAGTACCTGTCGAACAAGGAGAGCGAACAAGGTGAGTGGGGGAGGCTATTGCTACTAGAGGGGCCATCAGGGGAGACTGCCTCAGCTGCTGCTGATGACTTTGAGGACGGCTGCGATGCTTCCAGCGGGCTGTACCACGCGATGATAGATGAGGTGGGTGCAGATTTCTTTCTAGGTTTCTCTCTCTCTCTCTCTCCCTCGAACCCTGCACTCTTTCCTTGAAACCGCAGCAGCTGGGGGTATGTGAGAGTGAGATACCTAAAAACCAAGCTATCACTAAACTAGGCAATTGAGTGGGTTTTTTCCTTCCCATCCCTCGTCCTTCCAGGACCCCCTCTCTCTCTCCCGGACCCTGCACCCGCTCCCTGAAGCCTCAGCAGTTGGGGGGGGGAGGAGTGAGGAGCAGCAGCCGAGGGACACGTGGCTCCAGGGGTGTGGTGGACGGCCTACTGGAAGACGGAGTGGTGATGGCGGTGCTAGTGGTGGTGCCGGCGGTGTTGGTGCCGGTGCCTGTGCTGGTAGTGGTGGTCGCGGTAGTGGTGGTGGTGCTAAGAGCAAGTCGATTCCGGTTGGCATGCCGCAACGACAGACATTTGGACAGTAAGGATGAATGGTGGTTGTAGTGGTGGTGGTAGTGGTGGTGGTAGG